TTCTCTCCTATTTCCAATGTCCATCCCCTTTAAAGTCATCTGAGTGAGATATCCCAGGAGCAGAAAGAGACACATGGTATATACTCACTTATAAGTGGGTACTAGACCTATAAGATAGGATAAACATACTAAAATATGTACACCTAAAAAAGATAAATAAGAAAGAAGTCCAGGGGTATGATGATCCAGCCCACTTGTAACAGAGCACAGATGGGGGGGATGATCTGTTCTCGATCTGTGGGTCATGACCCCTCAGGCAAGCCTCTATCTCCAAAAATATGTTTACATTACGATTCATAACAGCAGCAAAATCACAGTTATGAAGTAGCAACAAAAGTCATTTTATGGTTAGAGATCATGAGATGTGGAACTGTACTAAAGGGCTGCAGCATTAGGAAGGCTGAGAACCACTGCTCTAAAGGCGTTCAGCTCAGCTGTTGATGAGTGCCACAGCTGACTGACTCCAGAGCATATAGTCCAAGCTCTGTCAGAATAAAATGAGCTCAAATCCATGTCTGGACTAGTGGAGATGATGCAATCTCCTGGTTGAATTTCAATCAAAGACTTTGTTCATGGATATTTATGCTGCAAATTAAAGCATCATATTGGTTGATAGGAAATTGTTTTGATAAGGGCTGTAAAACTGATTTGGTAATATTTTTACAAATCACACAAAGCTTCATCTAGATGAAGAGTCTTATATGTCATGTCTAACTCTTTCATGTTCTGGCACTTTGTCTTATGAACTGGTATTTTGGTTGTGCAGGTTGAGAGGTGACACAAAATGAAAAAATGGACTACTTATGGCTAACCAGAGCATGTTGAAAACCAAAGTGGCTGAATGAACTATTCACTGCAAAGCTGATACCAAATGTTGGCCAGAATGGATGCCCATAATTTCCAAATAGCCAAGAGCTGCATGGTGGCTATTATTGACTACACCAAAGCTCAGAATGTGACACACAGTGACAAATAACTGATCCAAGAGGTTTCTTTCACTTAGTATGTTCTCAAGGTTTACCCATGCTATGTACTGATAACATTTTGTTTGGATATTTTGATTGTGTAGCTATTTTTGCACTGTGAACATTCATGTTTTAGTTTTAATGTAAACATTTTCCTAGTCTTTGGGAAATACAGCTAGCTGATTGTATCCTCTGCCTACACAGATTCCATTATTCCAAAATTGGTACATTCAGTGGTGCTCCACAGATCTCCAAGAACGAGGTGTGTGTGTGTATAACATATGGACGTGTGCATATGACTGTCATATGCAGGTGTCAGATCCCTTGGAACTGCAGTTACAGGCCTTTTTTAAAATTTTATTTTATTTTATTAATTACACTTTATTCACTTTGTATCCCCCCATAAGACCCTCCCTCCTTCCCTCCCATTCCCGCCCTCCCACCCCCTTCTTCATGCATGCCCCTCCCCAAGTCCACTGATACGGGAGGTCCTCCTCTCCTTTCTTATCTTAGTCTATTAGGTCACATCAGGAGTGGCTGCATTGTCATTTTCTGTGGCCTGGTTAGGCTGCTCTCCCTTCAGGGGGAGGTGATCAACCACTCTGGAAATCAATCTGGCGCTTTCTCAGACAATTAGGAATAGCACTTCCTCAAGATTGAGCCATACAACTTCTAGGCATATATCCGAAAGTGGCTCAAGTACACAATAAGGACATTTGCTCACCCATGTTTGTAGCAGCTTTATTTGTAATAGCCAGAAGCTGGAAACAGCCCAGATGCCTCTCAACTGAAGAATGGATGCAGAAATTGTGGTACATCTACACAATGGAGTATTACTCTGCAATGAAAAACAAGGAAATCATGAAATTTGTAGTTACAGGCCTTTTGCAGGATGCCCAGCTTCTCCTCGGCACTGAGATGTGTACGCTGGTCCTCACAGTCAACACAGCAAGTGCTCTTAACATCTGAGCCATCTCTCAAGGCCTCCTTTTATTTGCTGTTCCCCAAAAGGCATCATCTCAACTGGCATAAGAGCCCTTCTCGATTTTTTAACTTGGTAATTGCACTTTCTAACGTCATAATTTTGGTCTTGACTTAGGTTAACATTTTCAATCCTACTGTAAGTTTTGAGGCTACAATACAGGGCCAAGCACCAGGCCTTGATAATTTAAACGTGCCCTATAGGTTGGAACATATCTAGTTTAGCCTAGTCAGTGATTTTGTCAAGGTAAGTTTAACATTTGCCCTTCCTCATTTTTCTTTTACCACTGTTTCCTGCCCCCTGTGTGCCTATCACATTTGAAAATTGGACACATAATACAGTATTTGTAACATTAGTCCCCTGTGCCTGCCTAAGGCTGGAGATGGTTTCTGAATTTTTTTTTTGTGACTTTTTAATTTTTTTTTAATCTAAATTGCAGTCTGCTTCATGTAGCTCAGCACTATGCTAACTCGAGACTCTCTTAAAAACCTGGAATCAGAACTTCTTTGGTGAGCAGCTGCCTATAGACATGCTTTCATTACTTATTCCTGGTGAGAGTAGAGGTTGCCCAGCTGGGTCCTGAGCAGGCACATACAGCCTGCTGATTCCTAGAAAATGTTAAGAGATTTCCAAGTTCCCAATGAGCAGCCAGTAACTCGATTTCCTCTAAACATTTTGGTTATTGTCATATTTTCCTCAACAGTTTTCTACTGCATATGGCAGCCTTAATGTCAAACTGCCTGTGTTTTTGAAAAGCTAGAAAAGGGGAAAATGTTATCAAGCTAAGCAAGTACTCACTCATCAAATAAAGCAAGACAAGCTTTGCAAGAGGGCGACTTCCAGTGAATAACCACACAGTTCTGGCAGAAAAAAAAAATTACATTTATTTATAACAATTTATTCACTGTGTATCCTAGCTGTAGCCCCCTCCCAACCCCACTCTCCTCCCCAAGTCCACTGATAGGGGAGGTCCTCCTTCCCTTCCCTCTGACCCTAGCCTATCAGGTCTCATCAGGACTGGCTGCATTGTCTTCCTCTGTGGCCTGGTAAGGCTGCTCTCCCCTCAGGGGGAGGTGATCAAAGAGCCAGCCCCTGAGTTCATGTTAGAGACAGTCCCTGTTCCCATTACTAGGAAACCCACTTGGACACTGAGCTGCCATGAGCTACATCTGTGCAGGGGTTCTAGGTTATCTCCATGCATGGTCCTTGTTTGGAGTATCAGTCTCACAAAAGACCCCTGGGCCCAGATTTTTGGTTCTGTTGCTGTCCTTGTGGAGCTGTCCCCTACAAGTCTTTCTATCTCCCCCTTCTTTCATAAGATTCCCTGCACTCTGCCCAGTTTGGCTATGAGTCTCAGCATCTGCTTTGATACCCTGCTGGGTACTCTTTCAGAGGTCCTCTATGGTAGGCTCCTGTCCTGTTTCCTGCTTTCTCCCTCTTCCCTTGTTTGCCCTGTGTGAGTTCTGGCAATTCTTAGGGAACGTTCCCTATAGATATGCAGACTTGGGTTATTCCCAGTGGCTGCCAGACTAGTCTTCACTGTGATAATGGGGTGCTGGTTTTGAAGGCTACCAAGGGTCTAGAGTAAGGGATGAATAAACTAGGCTGTGACAACCATCAAGAATTGGTAGTTTCTGGCACAAACACTCCCGGATTATTGCAAGTCTGATCAACTCCCAAGTTCAGAGAAAGTTGGTTCCAGGAGTTTGGGATACTTGTTCCTTTCATTCTTAAGACTCCATGTCTGCAGTTAAAAACAAAAACAAAACAAAACAAAACAAACAAAAAACAGCACCAGTCTAGCAGTAAGTAGCTGACTTGTCCGCAGAGGCATCTATTAACTGAGCAAAGATAATACACAATATAGGGTGTACGTCCCACTGAACAGTCTGAAGCAAGATAATGTCAACAGAACTTGTGATGGAAGGGAGGATTTGGAAAGTCCTGAAGATGGGTTCCCTCAAGGATCAGGAAGAAAGTCAGTCTATGGAGCATGTAGGAAGAATTTATCAAGGCTGAGACAAAATCACCAGGAAGCAGGTGGGAGAGTGTATTTCACACTAGAAGATCCTCCACAACAAGAAGACAATATCATAGTAAGACAACAAGAAAGCCACATAACCAGGGTTTATCAGCCTCTGAATCACAGCACTTTAGGCTGAATCAACAGGATTTTTACTACTAGAGAGTTCAACATTGCTGTAGTAGCCCAAACGTCTCCAGATATTAAGGACAGAGTCACCAGAAACTGAGACTCCCTACCCTACACCTGGAGTCAGTGCAGCAAAGCAGGAGCAAACCAGAGTCTAAGATCTGTTCACGGCTACTGTAACGTCTCTAGGTGACAAGTGTGGCAGGAAATGTAGGAGTGCCTCTGCACCTTCTCTGACTCCTCGCCTAAAGAACTCTCTCAGGCCTACTTGCAAATCTGTTAAGAGCACCTCCAACTTTAGTTTGGAGAAGTCTGAGTTAGAGTTTTCTCTTATTAGTTTTTTTTTTGGGAGGGGGCAGTTTGCTTGGAATGATACAAGGATTCAAGGAAAAAAACATACATCTACATCACAATTTAAATCCCATTGTTTCAAGGTTCTGCTATTTACAAATAAAGCTGCTATAAAGATGGTTGAGCAAATGTCCTTGTTGTGTACTTAAGCATCTTTTGGACATATGCCTAGGAGTGTTGTAGCTGGATCTTGAGGAATCACTATTCCTAATTGAGAAAGCGCCAGATTGATTTCCAAAGTGGTTGTACAAGTTTGCATTCCCACCAGGAATGGAGGAGGGTTCCCCTTTCTCCACAACCTCTCCAGCATGTGTTGTCACTTGAATTTTTGATCTTAGCCATCCTGATGGGTGTAAGGTGACAACCCAGATATCCCTCAGTTGAGGAATGGATACAGAAATTGTGGTTCCTTTACACAATGGAATACTACTCAGCAATTAAAAACGAGGAAATCATGACATTTGTAGGCAAATGGTGGGACCTAGAAATGATCATCATGAGTGAGGTATCCCAAAAGCAGAAAGACACACATGGTATATACTCACTTATATAGACTTATAAGATAGGATAAGTACACTGAAATCTATACACCTAAAGAAGATAAACAAGAAAGAGGATTCGGATAAGATGTCCAATCCTCACTTAGAAAGACAAAAGGGATGGACATTGGAAGTAGGAGAAAACAAGTAACAGGACAGGAGCCTACCCCAGAAGGCCTCTGAAAGACTCTACCTAGCAGTGTATCAAAGTAGATATTAAGACTCATAACCAAACCTTCTGCAGAGTGCAGGGAATCATATGAAAGAAGGGGGCGTTAGTAAGACCTGGAGAGGACAGGAGCTCCACAGGACCAAATATATCTGGGCACATGGGTCTTTTCTGAGACTGTTTCTCCAACCAAGGACCATGTACGGAAATAACCTAGAACCCCTGTTCGGATATAGCCCATGGTAGCTCAGTATCCAAATAGGTACCCTAGTAAGGAGAACAGGGACTATTTCTGCAATGAACTCAATGGCAAGCTCTTCAATGCTGAGGGAGGAGCAGCCTTGCTAGGCCACAGAAGAGGACATTGCAGCCAGTCCTGAAGAGACCTGATAAGCTAGGGTCAGATGGAAGGGGAGGAGAAGGGAAAGGGGCAGAGAGAAGATGAGGGAGGGAGGGTGGGATTGGGAGGGAATGAGGGACGGGGTTATGACTGGGATACAAAGTAAAAAAACCTGTGATTAATATAAAAAATGAAAAAATCCCATTGTAGTTATGGACACTTCTAAGTTTGTAAACAGAACCTAGATTTGCTAACTCAGTTCTTAAAGGCTGAGTGAAAGGCTTACCTTACCATACCTAACAGCACTAACATGCAGGCCACATGGAATTCAGTTAGCACTGTTTAATTAACCAATGATCTTTCATGTCTTCCAGAGCAGTAAAAAGGCAAACAGTTGAAGATCTTTCAAAAACCCTTTAGAGTTACTATACTGTATAGATGGTTCTTTCAGAACCATCTGAAAGGTCCTCTACTCAGCTATTTCAATCCCACCTTCTAGAATTTGTCCTTCAAGCTACCATCAATAATTCCTTCCACAAACATTTCAATGCAAGGTATGGTAGATCACACCTGCATTCCCAGCACTGAGGAAAGTAGAAACCCAGGCCTGACTGAGCCACACAGCACAACCCTTAGTGGCAGAGCGTCCACTAGACCTAGTGTGCAGGAGGGCCTAGGTTTAACTCCCAGCACCGTGCCCCTAAAACCAGTATGTGGCTACATAACTAGATAGCATGCGTTTCTCTTCTGTACTATGAGCAGCTTATATCCAGTACTTGCTCCAGTAAACATGCATGAAGCAGACAGAACACACCAGGGCTCCAGCTACCCATTCTTCTCCATTTCATGGAAACAAATAATTATTGCAGGGATATAAAACTTAGTATTTGGTTGTATTGTTATACATAAGCAAGTTGCTTAAACACTGCGAAGGCCACAAGTAAGTATAACTATGGCAAATTCATATTTATGTATATATTATCTCTATATCCACAATTACCAATTTTGTTTTGATTGTAAAAATAAATTCTAACAAAGATGATTTTTTTAGTAGTCATTATTTCTCCATTTTTCCACTGTTATTTTAAATGGCTTAACATTTTTTATATTGCAGTTACTGTATGTATGTGTATGTGAGAGGCAGAGATAGAAAGCGAGAAAGAGAACATGTGCCCACACTGTATGTCACACCGTGCATGTGCAGCCAGAGAACAATTTTTGTGAGTCAGGTCTGTCCTTCTACCACAGAAATAAATTCAGATCACTGGGCCTTGCAGGAAATGAGCCATCTCATCATCTCCGACATGCCTTATTTTCAAGGCAAAGGCAAAGTGTAACTAGTGAAATATATTTTGTATTCATGAATGAGAAAACACAAAATTCTGTAATATCTGAATTATTTTATGTAAGAAATAATTTGGGGAAAGCACTCTTAGGAAACAAATTTAGAGATTTGTAAAAAGATTATGTAAACTTCCCCAAATTTAGTTGCAAAAGGAACAACAAGCAGTATCTTTTATTATAGCTCTTCAACGAGACTTCAACCCAAATTTAAATAATAGACTAGTTTTAAAAAATTAAAACTTTACAGAAAGCTCAGGAGGCGGCAATCAATCATCAAATGTGATTTTTTTCCCCTGAAACGCAGTGATTTTGGACTGCTGCTCCTTTCGCCTCCTGCTCGCTTCCCATGAAGGGTGCAGCGGTGCATGTGGCTGCTGCTTCCCGCGCTCAAATCCTCTTTGCCTGCTCTTTGTAAACTGATTTTTGATTGGAGGTTCATTTTCTGGAAAATCTGCGAAGAGAAAGCAAAAACAACAACTAACTATACCTGAACAGGACAGATTTTATTTCTTTACAGCAATTATCAAAGAAACTTTCCTTTTACTTTTAGACACAATATCTCACAATTTAAAGCTGAACACCACAGGAGACAGCTGCAAGTTAAGAACTCACAGGAGTTAATGTCTAATCCTTGTACGAAGATTCTCATAGGAGTGACTCCTAACAGGATGTTCCGGGCTATCTTTCTTATTTCTTAAGTAATAGCGAGAGCAAGCAGCTCTGCTAACATGGCGAGACAAAACAAGCCAAAGGGAACCAATGAAAGTTGCTCTTGATAATGAAAGGACATTCTATTTGCATTTGTGTCAGTACACAATTCGGTACTACTACTAGAAAATGATAATTTTCATCCTCTCCCTGTGACAAAGTACTGCATGTGGGGGTGCAGGCTGAGCAGTCAGTACACACCTGGGGCTTTATTCTTTGGGGCCTGTTCTCTGGGATCCCTAAAAGAAAAGAAAAACAACATTAGAACCTAAAAGACAAAATAAAACCTCTGATGATGAGACGAAATATAAAGATTAGCCACAAGATGCATCTACTTGCTAAATCTACTAACAGGCAATAAAATAATCTAGGACTTAGCTAATCAAATATTCTTTCAATTCCAATATGACCCCCCACACACAAAACCTTCCCTTTTCACCCACACAGGGAATTCTGTTCAATGGAAAACATTTTGGCTATCTTGTCCTTGTTCTTGGAGATTGTCTATATAAAGAACTTTAAACATTTTCTCAAGGGGATAATGAGTTACACAGAATGAAAATTAATATCTACATTTTTGGTGAAGAAAGCCAAATATTTTAATTACTAACAAGGCTCTATGCTCCAGGTTTAGAAAAAAAAAAAAATTTACCGAATCTTATTTTAATTAAAGATGATCTCTGACCAATAAACACACAGAAAAAGGTCATTACCTTTCTAATGACCATTTTTAGATTATTTTTTATTTATTGTTTAGATTAGCTGTATAAACAAAGCTAATCAGCCTGTACATTAAAATGCAACAGTATTACCTGTCAGATAGGAGTGAGAATGAAATGAAACTTTACAGCAGAACTTGTGTGAAAAGTGGCTATCAGCAGGGACAGAGAGAAATAAATACCCAGTATAAAGAGGTTTGGAGAAATGTTGCCCCAGGCACTGAAACATGGAACGAGTGAGGTTTGGGAAGGCAGTAGGTTATCACACACTTACCAGAAAATTCTGTTCACCAGGACAGTTGTGAGAATTTTTTATTTTTTTTAATTAAAACAGATTCCAAATTTTGAAACCCTGACAATGGAAAAAACAAACCCTAAACTAGCCAGTCATGCCACTGAGCTGAATGTACCCTTTCACGTGAAGCTGGGCCATATACTGTTGCTGTATTTCTATATGCTACCCAACTATAAAGATGAAGACAGCACCAGGCCAAAACTCAGCATGGCTGACACAAGGCAGGTCCATGAGGAGTTTCTCCTACTGCGGTGAGGCTATGTAGCCACTTATATGGTAATCAAGTGAACAAAACTACTTTAGAATAAAAATGCCCTCCTTACCTTCTGGAGTGTTTAGGTCCAGATAAAGAGTGAAAAAACATGGATTCTAACTTCCTTGGTTCAGGAATGAGCTTGTGTTTATCATTTCTTACATCCCAATGGGTTTCAAGTGTACTTGTTTTGGGTAACACTTTTGGGAGGGGCCTCTGTTCCTTTGCTGAGGAACGGAAGCTACATTCCTTCTTTCTTGTCCGTCTGACTTTTCCAATGAAGAAGTCATCACCGCTGTCGCTGTCCTCGGACGCAGAAGACTGTTTATAGAACCGTTCTTCAGTGCTGTCATCAAAATATTCCTTTTCCTCCTCACTTGACTCTTCCTCACTACCACTGTCATCACTCTCTTTTTCTGTGGTCTCAGCTGAGGCTTTCTGTTTTGGGCTAGCAGGTACCTTCTGCTGTCCAGAGGTAACCACAGCACCCTTTCCTGAAGGCTTCCCTGGAGATTTCTGAGTGGCCACTGCTTCGGGTCCATGTTCTGTCTTGGCCATTTTTTCTTTTGAAGCGCTCACTGCTTTCTTTGTTGCTGTTTTGGTGTCTTTTCCCTTCTGCTCACTGACAACAGTTCTCCCCTGATGCTGTAACTCGCCTGCATCATTTTTTGAACACAGAGAATCCTTACTCCGGCTTTCCTCTGAAGTCTTCTTAGATGACTCAGCATCAGGAGCATTCTGCCTTGCATCTTTGAAGGCTTGGACAGCAGCTGCAAGGAAGACAGTACAAGACTTGTTTCAGCATTGGTACATGCAAAGTGTCATTGTCCTCACCCAGTACTGCTTCAGCTATGTGGAAACATTTAGGAGGACAATGGGAATCTACAGTACATATGTCACAGCAGTATGAGGTCATAAATCTCTTCATTACCTAAATACCAAGTTTATAAGGCATACTACGAAATATACATCTTAAATTGCAAATTAAGGTTACTTTTTTCCTATCTCTGAAGAACAGTAAAAATAACATAGAGAACAACAGCAACATAATTTTTATGTTAATGAAATGAAAGTTTTCAGACAGAAAAATAATTGGTAATTAATCTTTGACAAAGCACTTAATTTCATAAATGTATTTTATGATATAAAAATTATGACACAGTATTAACTGTATCATTTAAAATATCAACTGTCCAACATGATTATGGGTATATGCTTTATATAATTTTTACATATAATAAACATTAAAATTTAGAAAAAATGCAAATTTAGCATCTTTTTAATGATTTCAAATATCTTTCAAACTTACAGGCACTTGCCACAGTTCCATACATTAAACATGAATATCTAAAATAAAATCATCTATTCAGAAACATATGCTTAAATGCATAAGCATATTGACTTGTTATTCAATTCATACCTTTTAGGACATCTATTTTTTTCTTCAGAACAGGGTGAACTGCTAATCTGGCAATTGCTCTTTCAGTTGCAGTAGAATCTGGCTGAAAATTGAAAGTGATAAATATGTAGCATCAAAATTAGCCTGGCACCACTGGACACGATTACACTGAAATCTACCAATCTTTTGTACGTATTAGTTCGGGCACAGAATTTGCAAATATTTTCTCTGTATAAGTTACCTATGCAATCTACTCTAAAGACAAGGATTACAGGCCAAAACTCACAAAACTGACAAAAACATGTCTTGAATAATTAGTGTTATTATTTAACAGTCTATAAAAACCTAGAATTGTGCTACTATCAGTTTATCAATTTAAAGAAAAAGAATGATATCTTCTACTTTCAAAGAGCTTAAATGAAAGACTCAATTACTGTATTAGTGTTAAGTTATGATGAGAGTAATATCTGAAGTCTTATTTAATACAGACTTAGAACAATCTGATGTTTTCTCCTTATATTTTGAACATCTCTCTGTGATGTTTACTCAGAACACAACACAGCACCTAGCCCATTATGAGCTCTTCACAAATATTTGATGACGGGATAGGAACATATAATTCTTCAGCATTTATTGTATTTAAAAACTAAGAAATTCATAATACATGCTATTTGCTTTCGATACCACTGGGGCTGACATCTCCCACATTTCTACCTTTGGGGTCTACCCCGTGCTTAGACAGATCTCTCCTGGCATGGCTAAACAGACATCTTTAAAATTCCTTTCAATCCTGTTTCTCCCACAGTCATTTCCATGTTCCTGCATATATTTTCCCTCTGGGAACTTAAGTAAAGATTGTGCCACCAGTTTTCCTTCCTTTCACATACCACATGACTCCTTAAAATTTAGCTTAAATAAAAATAGTGCCATGACAGATTGTTCCTAAGAAGGTAAAATTTAGTATTTTAAACATTTCTTTTACTCAGAAGAAAACAAATCTAACACCTCAAACTTCTAAGTCATTTATTAAGAACTTTTTCTTATACAATACTTCACTTAAATTTTAAAATTCAAATACTAACAAGAAGGACGATAGGGAAAAGCTTTTTTTCTATATAACAAACCAACAATCTAGACTTGATTTCAAGGTCATTTAATTTAGCATTTAGGAAAAAACTGGAACTCAAATTCAGATTTGTGAATTCAGTCTGATATTTCCCTACAAGTTTTCCTCTAATTCATAAATCATTTATGACTTAACTGTAAATTATTTCTGCACTAAATTGCTTCAAGTCCACTTTAAATATTTCTGTAAAGAAATGAAATAAAAACATCAGTGAAAAAAACCAAAACCCAAATCAAAAGCTTGTGAGCAGCAGTGGGCACAGGCTCATTCCCTTGGCTGCTGTCTTGTATTTAGTGCAGAACACAAAGGAAAAGGGAATCCCTGAATCCCTGACCCCCTCCTCTCTGTACCCTCCACACACCCACTGACTGTCACGGCTCTGTTTTCAAAAGCTAAACTAGCTCCACAAATGACTAATCCAAAGCAGAATGTGATAGACTTCATCCGAGAGACAATGTCACAGACACATATAAAAAGAGCAGACACTGATACACATTATATCTAAACACAACCACTGTGCAGCTACTGGGCTCCGCTGTCTGAAGAGTGTTGACACCTGTATGTAAAGCCTGCACAGGTTTAGACTGGATGAAGGAAACCACAGCTTTCCTTATTTAAAACTGACACAACGTTTGCCATGGAAAATTCTCAGGAAACTGTGGTTTTTCACACACCTCCAGTTTCTTCCATTTCAAATAAATTAAACACAAAAAGTGGAAAACACCCTCACCTTTTAATGGAAAATTTTTAATTCTGGCATTTGGGTATTTATTGTCAACACAAAGGCATTTGTTACTCAATTTTGAAGAGAATTCTTGAAATATACTCTGGATGAAAAAAGTGTCTAAAAAGAAGCATTACCTTATGCGCAGCACAGATTCTTTGAAACGTCACCTAAACAAACTATAAATCCAATGGCAGAGCAATGAGTATTAACACTTGCAGTAACAACGTGGGCTCAAGTTCAACTCTACACTCTGTCTAGTGACACAAATCAACCAATTACCACTTGCTGATGCACAGTTCTCATCTAGTGAGTAAGAGATTTTATTCTAGAGCTGCTCTGACTGACCCCAAGAACACAGATAACCCTGAATTCCATACTCCAACATGGACGCAGTTGCATGAAGTTTTAGTTTTACAGAACAAAGATCATAAGTCAAGGCAAGATGAAACCACATTGGTGGGTATATCAGAAAGGCAGTTACAGCAAGAAAGGGCCTAAGAGGCTATCCAATCACATTCGCAGCTTTTGGTCTGTGGAAATTAGTTACTAAGTTAATAGGTTCAAAAGGTTTTTACTATCAGTCATAGGATGTTAGTTCTGACATAGGTGGGAAAGGAATCCAGGGAGCTAAAGCTAGCCAGACATAAGGTAATCGGGACCTGGGTCCATGACATTCCAGGCTCTCCACACCACTGCAGTTCTGGCCAGTCTCTGCAGACAGAGCTTCCTTCCAGGAGTTCTCCTTTACACTATCAGTAAACTTTCAGGACTATAATTCAAAATAGCTCATCAAATGAATTGTGATTAAAATGCTGCATAATACTTTAGAGATAACAAAGCATTTTAAAGAATCAAGTATAAATACAACTACATTTTTAATTTAAATGTTGAAAATAGACAAATGAAGCATTTTTACAGAAAAACAAAACAAAACAAAAAAACAGAACTAACGTTACATACCAGAACTTGGGTATATACATGAAGAATTGTGTAGAAACTGAATAAGGCTCACCATGAACTACTTAATATACACGTCAAATGCCATAGATACATGAGCATTACATGATAAAAGTAAACACAAATATACAATAAAACCAGTCATTTAAATGTTAACACATCCAATCATTTATACTACTTAAAAAATTGTTAAAACCCTCCCCCTGATAGAGGTAGGGGCAGCCTTACCAGCCACAGAGGAAGACAATGCAGCCAGTCCTGAAGAGATCTGATAGGCTAGGATCAGATGCAAGGGGAGGAGGACCTCCCCTATCATGGGAGAAGAGGGAGGGAGGGCGGAATTGGAGGGAACAAGGAGGGGGCTACAGCTAGGATACAAAGTAAATAAATTATAATAACAAACAAATAAATGAAAAAATTTGTTACAAGTAGTAGGATAGCAAGCACTTTTAGCTAATGGCTTTTCTTTTTGAAAGGAAGGGCCTCATCAATACTCAATCTGTAGGGTCTACACTGAGGGCTTTAACTTCACTGACCCTACATCAAAACCCAGTTACATCTTTCTTAGGCCCTACTTTCAGACTAATCTCTACATTTATTGGTCCTATGTTATATCTCGAATAAGAATTTCTTCCAACATCAGGTGCTTGCTTAGTCCCTGCTAGTAGCCCTTTTAGGAGATTAAGGATCCTTCGGATGTAGGGTCTACTGGTAACAGTAAGTAAGAACTTTGAGGTAGTCCTGCCTGCATCCATCTTGTCTCTGCTTCTGGATCCATCAACATGTAACCAAGCCTCACAGAAGCCACTGCCACAGAGGGAGCAAACATAGCTACCATGCCTTCTATACCATGATGGATAAATGGTATAATGTAATGTTAGAGTTTGGCTGCAGCAGCCTTTTCCCTTTAAGAGGCTTTTAAAAAATTTTATTTATTTTTTATTAATTAGTTTATTCACTTTGCATCCAAACTGAAGCCCCCTTCTTCGTCCCCTCCCAGGGCTACCCTCCCTCCCTCTTCTTCACTCATGCCCCTCCACCAGTCAACTAATTGGGACGGTCCTCCTCCCGTTCCCTTTGACCATAGTTTACCAGGTCTTATCAGGACTGGCTGCATTGTATTCCTCTGTGGACTGGTAAGGTGATCAAAGAGCCAGCCACTGAGTTCTTTTCAGAGACAGTCTCTGTTCCCATTACTAGGAAACCCACTTGGACACTGAACGACCATGGGGTACATCTGTACAAGGTTCTAAGTTATCTCCATGCATGGTCCTTGATTAGAGTATCAGTCTTAGAAAAGACCCCTGGGCCCAGATCTTTTGGTGTTACTCTCTTTGTGGAACTCCTGCCCCCTCCAGGTCTTTCTATCTCTCCCTTCCTTTATAAGATTCCCTGCACTCTGACCAAAGTTTGGCTGAGTCTCAGCATCTACTTTGATACCCTGCTGGGTAGTCTTTCAGAGGCCCTCTGTGGTAGGCTCTTGTCCTGTTCCCTGTTTTCTCCCTCTTCCAATTTCCATCCTCTTTGTCTTTCTGAATGAGGATTGAGCATCTTACCCAGGGTCCTCCTTCTTGTTTAGCTTCTTTAGGTGTACATATTTTAGCATGATTGTCCTATATTATATGTCTAATATTCACTTAAGAGTGAGTATATACCATGTGTATCTTTCTGCTTTTGGGATTCTCACTTAAGGATGACCTTTTCTATTCTTAAATGCTGAGGCACTGTGTGAGTCCCTGGTTAAAAGACTTGTGAAGCATCTCTTTCCTGGAAAATCTATGTCAAAGGAGGTATTAGTGAGCAGATTTCCAGCTCCCCACACCCACCATTGACTCCAGCCTAGGAATCATCTGAGCACCTGGCTCTAGGCTTATGCTGTGAAAGCAGCATCCTCAGAAAATATAACAAGAGACTCTCACTTATGATGTGTGGACCCTTATTATTTTAAGAGACCCCACCACGCTGTTTGTCTCTGATAGGGTCTGTACTTTCCTCAGACTCCATCTTGCTGTTCTTTTTGTGCCTATCTGCCCACAGTATTAATAACACTACTAATAAACTTTATACCCCCCCTCCATCTCAGAGTATAACAGCTCCTTATTTTGGGGCAAAAAAAAAAAAAAAAAAAAAAAAAAAAA